AAAAATATCCTGCTGTTTAATACTATTACAGTACATGAGTCACTTGGTGTCACCTCATATTCAGTGTGCCATTTGCAATTTCATTTTAAATTTTTATTTGTTTGGTTTGTTGTTTTGTGGTTTTTTGTTATGAATGGATTAGGGAAGAAAACAAAGAGATGCAGTGTGCATGTGCTGTTAGGGAAATTCTGCAGCATAAACATTAAGAAAGGAAGATACAGAGAATGGTGTATTATATCCAGTAACAACACAGTTTTTCTCAATAATAAGCTAAAGTGGTAATATTGGTGACTGGGAAGAATAGGGGCAGAAAAGTGTTTGCATTTCTGAAGACTGGAATGTGTTGCTAGATACAGATGCTATGTGGAAATGTGAAAGGAGAGAGGGGATAATTCTTGCTGGGATAAAACTTTTTCCCAGAGCTGTTCTGAATAAGCAGTGGCATGAAATTATGAGCTTTGGAGGGCTGAAGGAGCAAAGAAATGAAAACAGAGTATGTTTTAATAAATCTTTGCTGCTGCTTTTGAGATTGAGCAGGAACATTAGTTCAAGCCTTCCCAGTCCTCTCCCTGTGACACAGCACTGGGGGCTGCAGGCTGCATGATTTGACTGCATGCTGCAGGGCTTTAGGGCACTGCTGCCTTCCCTTAGCCCTGATTCCAGCACTCCAAGGCACTGCTGCCTTCCCTTAGCCCTGATTCCAGCACTCCAAGGCACTGCTGCCTTCCCTTAGCTCTGATTCCAGCACTGCTCCTTCCCTTAGCTCTGTGATTCCAGCACTCCACTCAGCTCAAGTGCTGGAACAGGGAGCCCACTCTGATACTCTTCACACACCACGAAGGATGTGCTGGGAACTAGGCTACCAGAGTATCCCAGTTTCCTCTTTTTCCTGCAGTACCACCCCCACAGCTGATGAATGAATGAATGCAGTTGTAATACAGTGTATAATGTACATTACCCCATAATGGCCTTTAAAAGGTACACAGGATATTCCCAGCTTTCCTTCTGCTTAATGCAGGGATGATGGGCATCTGAAATAGGGAGACACATACAAGGCTAAGTGAAAAGGAAAAAAATAAAAAATGGACCAATACAAGGAGCCTGAAGGTGCAGGAGATGGTAAAAAGCTTTGTCTCAGGCAGCAGATTGCTTACATGGAGATATTCTTAGGATAGGGTGAATTTTGTTGAATTCCATAAGAATTGCTATGGGAACTTAAATTGAGTTTCTTGTGACTTGAGCTCAGATATTCCTTTCTATCCTTGATGTTTCAGGAGAGAGTGAATGATTTCTCAGGATATGTTAGTAACACATATGCTGTGCCATGCCTTAAAAACTTAACCAAGAGGATTGTTTATACTCTTGGATATTTTTTTTTCCGCCCTATGCCAGGACTATTTCTTAAATAATGAATATTATTAGAACGTAGAATATTGAGTATTCTCACAGGCAGAAAAACAGTAGAATGTACAAGAATTAGTTTAATTTGTTCACTGGCTTCTACTTCACAAGTTTTCCAGAAAGTCTCTCAAATCCTTAGCCTGTTTCTTGAGTTGATATTTGCCATTTTATACAGGAACAACTCCTTGGAGATTTTTCCCAAATAGAAGAATAAGAGAGTGAGTAAATAAGCAGCATTGGTTATTATTATACAGCAGAGATTTGAATAAATAGCAATATGAACAGCTGAAACCCCAGATACTTACCCAGGAGAACAGGACAGAGATGGAAATAGGGAAGATTGATGATAGGTAGGAGCCATAGGGTTAGGGATGGATGAAATTAGCAATTTATTAAAAACAAAAGATTTGGGAAGGAAGCAGTACCTTGAGCCTGTGTGATCGTAATAAACAGAATGAGGCAAGAAAACTTAGGTTAAGGGTTAAGATAACAAAGTATCAGAGAGAGAGAAAAAAAGAGGCCAACCAGAATAAGCATGACTTGAAAATAAATATTTTTCTTGTTAGGTGTTATTTAGTACTACTAATCCTTTGTTTATTCAGTGCTTTGGATGCATCAAGTGCTTTTTAATTGTTTGTTGTTTTTTTCCTCCCTTAATCGAGGAGGGCAGTGATTTTCATGAGCAGAAGTTATAGCAGGTTTTTGTGCTGTTGGTCTCTTCTGTTTGGTACAAAGCAGGGTGAACCTTTGGAACTTGAGCTGTGGGAGCAGATTATTTCTCTGTTGCTACAAGAAGATGTTCCCAAGTCCTTGGACTCTTAACAAGTCTCTGAAAGGCCAGAGAGCAGTTGTACAACCCTGAAAGGGCCCAGGTATGGCTGTAGCAGCTGTGAGTAAACGTGTCAGCAATGTGTCTGTGCAGGGATTTCAGAGAAAAAGGTTCCAGTTCTTTGAGATGCTGGATGTGTGGAGTTTCATTCCCAGGCAGAAGGGTCCTCACATGTCAGTAATGTTCTGTTTAGAAGGTGGAAAAAATTTGTTCTAGTCCAAACTGGAATATATTTATTCCCAGGAAAGAGTTGCCTAATTTTATTTCTTGCATAATTTCATGTCTTTTCATTACTCTACCCTACCTAAACTTCTGACATTTTTGCGAGAGAACCACACCCATGATCCTGTCTGAAGTGGGAACCAGGCCTGAAGTGCGCTGTGCTTTTAAATTTATCAGGTATTTATAATATTGACTTGATTTTTCACATGGCAACGAACTTGCTGGTTATTTCTAGACATACACGTACATCCTCATAACCAGAAAAACCCTGTTACTGTGCATGTATATGATCATACTCTTTTTTTGGCTGTAACAAGAAGCAGCAAATTCTGATCTCTCACCTGTGTCTCAGCTGTCAAAACTTTCCACTTTTGCCATTTTCGTAATTCCTTCCTAAGCACTGAAAAATGCTAAAGAATGAGTGGCAGCTGTCAAAATTTACTATTCACTGTGTACGAACGGAGGTAATGATAGAAGATGTTTATCAGAAGGATGCACATCTCAAACACTGGGGCTTCCTTCATCAAGGATGCAAACACCTGAGACAATAATTTCTGCCAGAGAAGTGCTTGTATGTGTCCCCATCCCAAATCTTCTGGCAGCAGCTCATCTATTTTGGAGGGCAAGATGACAGGACACCGCTATTATATTGCCAGCAGTAAATGCTGACTAAGAGACGTGTTCAGGTGTTACATCACGTTTCTGGGCTTCTCTTCTAAGGTGTTCCTTCTTTTGGCACTGGAAATTCGTGCCATCAATCTTGATTTTTACAATCCAGAATAAAGCAGGTTGGAAGACGAGCCAGCTAAGAGTGTTTCACCCCTCACGTGAGAAAGCTGCAAATCACAGCTATCTCATGGGGGGGAAAAAAAACCCCAACAAAACAACAAACCACACTTAAGCATCTTTCTTGTGCACATCTTGGACTGTGACAAATTCTGGTCCTGGAAGCCAGCCCCGATTTGTGTGTGCTGCAAAAAGAAAGGAACACTTATGCTGGTGAAGGAGCAGGGGTACGCTATAGCTACCTCATGCTGATGTACCTAATGGTTTTTAGTGCAGTTTGCTGGGGGCTTTGTAGAACCGAGCGAATGCATTACACGGGCGTTGAGGCTGAGGATCGCAGAGTCTGCGCCAGAGCCCGCAAGAAACCATGGCTGTTGTCCTTTTCCTTGCAGACGCCCAAGCCCTGCGAGGCCGGGTGGGCAGAGCCGCCTCCGCCGGTGGCCCCGGGCCGGGAGAACCGTGAGTAACCGGGAAGGGGGAATGCAGCCCCCGAGGGGGAGGGATGCGCTCCGGGAAAGGGGAATGCGGTCCCCCAAGGAGGTGGGATGCGCTCCGGGAAGGGAGAATGCAGCCCCCGAGGAGGAGGGATGCGCCCCATGAAGGGGGAATGCGGTCCCCCAGGGAGGAGGGATGCGCCCCATGAAGGGGGAATGCGGTCCCCCAGGGAGGAGGGATGCGCTCCGGAAAAGGAGAATGCGGCCCCTGAGGAGGAGGGATGAGCCCCGGGAAGGGGGAATGCGGCCCCCCAAGGAGGAGGGATGCGGGAGCCCCGGGAAGGGGGAATCTAGCCCCCCATGGAGGAGGGATGCGCCCCGGGAAGGGGGAATGCGGCCCCAAGCGCTTCCCCATGCCGTGACCCAGAAGTTTTGCCAGCCCGCTCCTGATGCTGCGGCTTGCCGGGCGGGATGCGGCGGGGATGTGCTGCGGCGGCCGCAGCCCAGCGAAGGGAGGGATGGAGCTTACCCCGAGCGAGGATGAGAAATGACCGATTTCCCCCAATTACGTGGCCACGGGCCAGAGGAACCGAGAGCGGCGGGCGGGGGCGGCGGCCGATGGAGCCCGGGGAGCGGGGGAGCCGCTCCGCCCCGGGCAGGTGGAGGTGCCTGCGAGTTGGGTGTTAGAGAAATGTGTAACAAAAAAGGAAAGGGCGCGGTGGAGGGCGCGGAGGCTGCTCGGAGGAGGGGGAGGGCGGGAGCGTCGGGCTGGGGGCGTCGCACCCCGGGCATCTCTCCATGCCCACCCCCCCCACCTCCCCCCCACCAAATCCCAGAGGAATCACACTCGTCGTCGTCCCCACCCCCGGAAAAAGGAGGGCACACCCCACCTGCGGGGCTGGCTGCGGTTGGGGTGCCGGCTCTGCCCTCTCCCCCCGCCCGTCCCCCTTTACCTGCCGCCGGCCCGTCCGCGGCGGGGGCAGCGGGGCGTGGGGCGGTGGGTGGCGGTGGAGGCGGCGTGTGACAGATGTCCTCCTCTGACAGCGCTCGGTACCAGCCCAGTGGCTCCCTGCCATTGGCTCAGTGCAGCCGACCGGCAAGGCTGCTCGCTATAATAGCACTATGCCTGCCAGCGGCGGCGGCAGCTCGCTCGGCTCCGCCGCGGCCGCCCCGCCGCGCATCCTCTTCTTCCTCCTCCTCCTCCTCCTCCTCCTCCTCCCGCGGCCCCGCCGCGCCTGAGGGGCCGCACCCCCGGCCCCGGCGCCGCCAGCCCCGGCCCTCCCCGCCCAGCCCCGCCGAGCCCGGCCAGAGGAGGCGGCTCCGGCCCCATGGAGTGCTACTACATTGTCATCAGCTCCGCGCATCTCAGCAACGGGCACTTTCGCAACATCAAGGGAGTTTTCCGCGGCCCCCTCAGCAAGAACGGGAACAAAACTCTGGTAATGGCTTCTTCTTCCCTTGCCTCCCCCTTCCTCCTTCCTTCCTTCCTCCTCCTCCTCCTCCGGCTCGCGGTGGCGGCTCTGGGCAGCGGGAGCCGGGGCCCGCCCGCCCCTCCTCTGCCGCCGCGGGGACGCGGTGCCCTCGGCTCCCGGCCGGGCCAGGCGCTGCTGCCGCGTCCCCGCAGCGCTGTGGGGCAGCCCGGGGACCCTGCAGGGCATCCCGGGGACCCTGCAGGGCCGGGGCTCCGCAGCCCGGGGGAGCTCGGGGAGGGGCGGCTCGGCTGAGCGCATCCCCCGGTCCCCGGTGACCGCCAGCCCTGGCCCCCCGTGCGGGGACAGCCGCAGGTGCCGCCTGGCGAAGTGCAGGGAGGGACCCGAAACTTGTCTGTTGGCTTGTCCCCGGTCGTTTTGGGTAGAGAGAGAGAGGGAGATGCGTTTGTTCGAGCACAGCCTGAGAAACGATGCGCGTTTTGGTTTGTTGGCTGCCAAGTTCTTTCTGAAAGCAGGACTCGGGGTTTGACAGGACTCGGTGGGTTTAGGCAGTTTGGCTGAGATGCTCCGGAAAGTCTGCACGGGCTATTCGGGCTGTTTCTGAATTCATCCTCCATACTTAGGCATCTTTACATCTGTTGGATTTCCTATGGTTTTGCTGACTTGCTCGAACTCGCCTGGTGCTGTTACTGAACTTTAATGGAAGAGTGACGACGCAGTAGCCTTGGCGGTCCATGTGCTCTCCTGGCTGCCCAGATAAAGGGGATGCAGGATAACGGCGGGCTGGGTGAGCTGCATCACGTAACATCTCAATCACGGCACCACACAGTGCGGACAGATGTCTGGAGAGGAGGATGGAGCCGAAAGAGGGGCTTAGCCACGTTGTTTATCTCTCTCTCCCATCACTGCCTTGTTCTGAAATCCTCTTTGGAGGAGACGGAGCAGAACTTACTCACCACATTCTTGTTCCCTCGAATGCACGACCTATATTGATGGGGAATTTACTGAAGTACTTAACATTTGCTAGAGTTGGCAAGCTTGCAATTTCTCCCTAAATAAAGAGATTAAAGCAAGTCTGAGCCAAGTCATAAAAATAGTAACTACTACGAGAGAATCTGAGGCAGATTTTTGGACTGTTTCAAATGTGAAGTTCCTGCTTTCACGTTGTAAATCTTTACAATTTTATTTGCTGTGGATTCTGCATATTTTTCTGTTAGGGATTGCTTCCTTGGAATTTTAAACAAGTGTTTGTAGTATCCATGAGATGGCAATATGTGTGTAATATTTCACTGTTACAGTTGCAAACCCAAGAACTACTGCAGAAATATTTGGTACATTTCAAATAATGGCATGATACATCACCTTCTTCCTACTAAACAATTTCAGTAAAGATGCATTTGGCAGGACTGAGAATACTCTGATGTAACTTTTGGACTGTGTATTATCTTGCAGTTCATAATGGATTCTGCTCCAACAGCTTTTTTTTTGGTTATGTTTTTCCCTTGGCAGAAAAAACAAAAAAGGCAGCCCTGTATTCTCAATATTCCTCATTAATTTATTTACTGATAAAATTATTGGCGACCAAAATATTTTGGGGTAGACTAGTGCTAACTTCAGATTCAAATAAAAAATAATTGTGTGGGCTTTGAAGTGCTCATACTCTAGAAAAAAAATGTACTCTGGGAAGATATTTAACTCAACCCTGCTCTTCAGTGGGATTGATGTGAGGGGAGACAAGGCAGTGTTGGCTGTGGGACTGCCACGAGTGCCCTTAGCTAAACAGCTTCTGTGTGGGCAGTGAGCACTGGCAAAGTTTTTGTTGGGTTGAAAAGGAAGAGTTCTTGATGTTGGCTCTGTGGACAGCGAAATGAAATCCTTTCCCATCAAATAAAGTGTATAGATGCAGGCATCAAGGCTTGTGTTTCTGTTTGGGCTATTCTTTAATTTATAGGAGGTAAAGATACCATTGAGTTGTGACACAGGGCATTACCAGCTCAGACTGATAGTTCTGAGGTGCTGAAGTACATTTGCCTCCATTTCAATGGGAAAATCAGATGTTTCATTGTTTCAGAGGATTGGTCACTTTCACTGGAAACAAGCTTTTCAGACTTGGAAGGATGAAAATATTTATTAGTGCAAGCTAGAATTAAGTCTTTAGAAATTCCAGTAGGAGCACAGCCTTTTAGTTTGCTCTTGCTGTCTTCCATCATAAAATAAGATTAGGAGAAACAGCTATCTGTGAAGCTAAAAGTCAGAAAATTTGAAGCTGCTCTGACTCAGACATATCTTCCTATTTGCTGTAAAGCATTCACTGTCTTTTCATCTGAGCTCCAAGCTTTCTAAAATCACTGCTTCCTCATAAACCAAGAAGAACCTGAAAACAGCCTCCCTTTGTGCAGTGTAGAATTGCTTCTGTGCAAAACTTACATTTGTTAAGTTTTGGTTCTCCGTCAGAGTTCTGCTACCACACTCTGTCTAGAAATAGAGATGAGTGTGTGTGCTTCAGTAGAATTTCACATCGAGTAGAAAAGTGTTGGATCTAGTCAGATGATGTCGTGGTTTTGAGATGGTTTTGTATGGTGTATCTTCAAACCTGAGCTGGTCAGGTTTCAGGGTAGAAAGCTCCTTGGTCCTTTTCATTACTGTCCCATTCTGGAGTGACCTGGTATTGACCTGAAACTCTTTTTATTTTATTTTTTTTCTTCCCTGCTCTCCAGGAGAGGTTACTGAGAGATTTTTCTTCCCTGATTATTTGTCTCTGTGGGTGATCCTTACGTGTTTGTCCTCTGCCTGCGTCCCGTTTCACACAGAATTAGTCATTTAAAACTTTATGAAGATTTGGTTCAAAACTCCCAGAATACAGCAGGAAGAAAGAGCTACAAACCTTTGGTCAGCTGGTAGGGAACATGAACCACAGAGCTATAAAAGCCGCTCAGTGGAGAGCATCTACTTTTTGGTAGAAAAGACAGAATAACAGTGTTTCTATTGCCTTGGTCTGTCTTTAGTGCCTGCTGAGTTTGGGCTTTGAGATGGGGTTATTTGGGAGGGGGAGAGAAGTGCGTCAGGGATAAAGATCCAAAGTAGGAGGAGGATGGGGAAGGTCACAGTTCCATTCCTCAAAAGAAGGTACCGGGAAAACCTGAGCTCAGAGGGAAGTGCAAGGCACAAGAGGGAACAAAGGAAAGGGTGGATTTAGGTAACTGAGAAAACAGGTTACTGTAAAAAAACTTTTAAAATTAAATAAAATAAGAAAAAAAATTGCTGGTGGATGAACCTTTAGACGAGTAGGGGTGGGAAATGAAGGAATGTGTATCTCCATGAAGTTCTGGGTATTTCTGATAGCTCTGCCCAGTACTCAGTGCATGTGGTCCCCCCAGCCCACTGGGGGGCTGTTGGGGTAGGGATGCCTTACCCAGTTGTAATCTGCTACTTCTTGTCAGGAAAAGAAATCTGAATAATGAATTGATGGGGAACGGGCCCCTGTGGAAGAATAGCCTCCAAACTCCTACTAAAAAGTAACTTCAGAAAATGGAACAGTATGGTTAAAAGAAATTGATGGTGTTTGTGCTGTCCAATAAGGCTTTATCCTTTCCCTCTGCAGTTTCTAGAGCCAGAAATATCCTTCAAACATGCACAGTCTCCTAACAACAGCTCTGGAGTAGTCCATGGCAGCTCTTTGGAAGGTTTTTCTGTTGTTGCTGGTGTACTGTCTGAGTGAACCAACTGCCATGTGGTCTTTTTGTGGCAGATGGTTTCTGATTAAGAAACTCCAAACTTACCATGTGGGTCAGTAAAATGCAAAGATGTTTCAAATTTCTAGTGCACTTTTTGCATTTTCATGCTTTTTGGTGTTTTAATCGATGAATGTTGGCCTGATTGCTTGGCCATTTCATGTCAGGGTTTGTATTTGGTGACTAAGAAGTTTTTCCAAGGATGTTCTTTTTGTCTGTAACAATTTATAATTTATTTTTTTTTGCTGCAAACTTTGTTTTGCCTATGGTCCTGAACTTCTAATGCACTTACTCTGTTATTTTTTTAGGACTTATGTTATTGATGCCAAATTATAGTAGTCTGTCTTTGTAATTCATCTTCCTTGCTGTGGCTGCTGTCTTGCAGTTTATAATCTCAAAAAGTATTGAAACTTGTCTGAAAAGAACAGCTTTCTGGAGAGAGAAATCAGTTGTTTGGAGTTGGAACCCCAGGTGATTTTTTAAAATCCTTAAAATGTTTTTTAGGATGTAAACCCCAAACCATTTTAAAGCATTTATCCTAGTTAATATATACAATTTTTGGTTGGTCAGCAAGAGAACTGACTCTAATCTTCTGAGTAGCTGGTATGTGACTGGTGACTGAGTATCTGCTATTTCACCCTAAGATATTGCACTGGTGTAAATGGCTCTGGTTCCTTGAGTTTTGCAGTGGTGGAGGACTGGACCTGTGGGGCTCCTTCATGGCTTTTAATTGGACAAATACATTTTCTCCCGTGGTGATCAGAATGAGTAACCTGCTGTCACTTGGCTGAGGAAACGTTTAGACCTCTGAGTGGTGTACATTGCTACTGTAATTCCAGTTTCAAGTGTCTTGTTGATACAGATGGAAAGTAGGTAAGATTAGAAGGTCCTGATAAGCATCTGATTAAAGGACCAGACACACAAGAATCTATTTTTTGTGACTATCAGTGACCTCTATATATGTAGGTTTATACTTTTGGTTAAAAACCACAGGGGACTCCAGGGATAGAACGGAAATAGTGGTTCCCCAGGTACAAGGGAGGCAATCACAAATTATTTAAAACTGGAATCAAACTCTGAACTCAATGCCATGAGCCTTGTGGAGAAGATGATCTGATGGGCTTCACGTGGCTGCCATGTAGTACAGCTTTGTGCCTCCCAGCCAGCTCGGTTATGACTGCAGGGATACCAATTAATTAATAAAGTAATTAATTTGTTTATAACTCCTTTTAGAGGTCTGAGGGCATGCCTCTACTTCTATGAAAACTCCATGGAGTT